TGTGTGTGTGTGTGTGTGTGTGTGTGTGCGCGCGCGCGGAGAGGGCTGCTTGCCCTCCTCTCCAGAGTCATATGCAGGAATTCCAAAAGTTCATAGAAAATGGAATTTTTTAAAAAGATAATTTTGGTGCAAGCAATCACGAAACCCAGGCCTAGTGTTCCCGTACCACGCATTTCCCATCGTGAACTTCTGAAGACCCCTGCGCCTACTTGACAAGTGACCTCAGGTTGCTTAGAAGGAGACGGAGCTAGCCAGCCGGTAGGGGCCGAGAACAGAGGTCCCCAGGGTGTCTGCTGCTGGCCTGTCACTCAGCTGTGGTTGTTCGAGTCACCTAGAGTCAAATATGCTGTGGGGTGGGGTGGGACATGGAAAGGCACTCTGTAGTCAGCGCCCCCTGAGCACCCACTCTGGTGGGGTTTCCATTTCAGACTTCCTGCCCCCCAGAAGGGAGCCTGGTGTGAACAAGGGCTGTAGGTGTCATGCAGTGGGCTGAGCCCACCCTCGGTGACTCACACAGGCATCCTGGCACCCAAACTTGTCAGGCTGGAAACCCCCCCAGGCTGAGGTCTGGAGGATTTTTTTCTTTCTTTCTCTTACCAGGGCGGTCATTTAAAAACATGGTGAAACCGGAAGGTGCTAGCCACTGCAGGGAGGTGGCCCTGGTCGGGGTCGGAGCAGCAGTGCAGGTCAGGGTGAGCGTCTGGCCTTCTTCCACGGTGACGGTGACCTTTTCCGTGTGGGTAGCCAGAAGGGCCTCTGGGGAGAGAATGGGGGCGGTCAGGCAGGTGGTCTGCACTGGGATCGCGTCTCTCCTAATCTTGCTCATACATGTGATCATTTATTACATATTTCTTCTAGAAATCTAAGCATAAGCAAATCCCCCTCACACAGGGGCCACACAGTGGCACCACAGGGAAAAACCCGACAGTGCAAAGTTGAGCCACATGCGAAGGTCCCAGGTTTGTATCCGGAGGTCTCTCGGGTGTCTAGGCAGGGGTGTGCCTGTGACCCAAGCCAGCTGAGGCTGGGGCGGACCAGGGCCTGCTGGGTTGCCGTGGGTCTCTCTGTGTCTCATTCATGAGGTGATAAATAAATAAGTAAACTTGAAATAAAAACCAAGCAAAAACCTCATGCTGCTGTGGACATTGGAGGCAGGTCTGAATGAAAGGGAGAGGTTTGAACAGAAGAAGGGGAAAGGTGACATTCAGTGGTCACCAGCACCTGCTCTGCCATGCGCCCCCGGCCACACCCCCTATATTTCATCTAGTACTCACACTAACCCGGGAAAGAGAGGAGTGCTTCGCACACTTTATAGTAAAGGAATGAGGGGCTCGAATGTCAGAGGTCATGGAGTTGGGATCCAAACTAGGGACGAGCCGTGCTTGTCCCTGCTGGCTTCTCTGTGTCATCCCATCCGAGCCCTGAGACCCCGGACACTCAGCCTGTCTGACCTCGGTTTACGGAACAGGCGACTTGGACCTGCAAGTAGTTGTGTGTCGAGGAGTCTAGGAAAGCACGTGGCAGCCTGTGGGGCCCTCGTGAACTATGGAGGTCCCCTTCAAGGCGGCTGCTGAGCCCCACTGGGGCACACCTGTGGGAGGGACACGCCTGCGGGAGGGCGCGCTCTTTGATTTAACACTCCACAGCAGGTTTGCTTTCTCCAGCAAACCTGAGTCTGATGTCTCCAAATCCCAACTTCAGGTAATGAAACACAACTGGCTCTTAGCAGCTGCAAACTTATCCCTCCAGAAAATGATGGAAAAATAAGTGGGGCTTTACTGCTCCTTTGTCACACTCTCCTTCCTTCCTTCCTCTTCCCCTCTCTTCCTCCCTTCCTTATTTCCTTCCTTCCTTTCTTGTTTTTAAACTCACCAGAAGGCTGTACTAATTTACATTTCCACCAACAGAAGAGCTCTCGCACATCCATGTCTATTGCAACAGTATTCACAATTGCTAAGACGTGGAATCAACCCAAAGGTCCAAGGACAGATGAATAGATTGAAAAAGTGTGACGCATATAGGCTACGGAATATGACTCAGCCATAAGAAACAATGAGACTCTGGCATTTGATAGAAAGTGGACAAATATGGGAGATTTAATGGTAAGTGAAGCAAGCCAAGCTACGAAAGAGAGGCATTGTATGTCCCCACTTACTGTCTACTGAATATCTGCACTCTATGGCAGATCCTGAAAGACTGGAACGCATAACAGCATGGAAAGCAACTGTACATACCAGAGACAGTGTGGGAGGAGGGTGGAAAATGGTGTGGGGAGAGGAGTCTGGGGGGAAAAAAAAAAGAAAAACATTCAATGGACAAGAGAAGGGAAAGTGATCTGTTGATGACAGTGTGCGTGGTAATTTCTTTGACTGGACTAACATATAGGGTTCATGCTGAGAAAATTCATTTGCAATGTCATAATGATAGATAGTGATTAAATGTGAAAAAATAAAGAAAATAAATAAAAATAAATTCGCCAAAGGGGACATGCACTTGCTAGTGAGGGGGTAGGAATGAGAAAGCACGCCTCACGGGGAATGGTCACACCACAGTCACTTTTCCATCTCTCCATCCTTTTGAACTTTTGGGCACAAATACACCCTGGTGTGTTTCTGAAGCCACCGGGTCCAGATTCAAACCCTGAGACTGGCCATGTGGGATCCAGCCGCCCTAACCACCATGCCCACAGGCTGCCACTCCTTAGCTCTAAACATTTCTAATGATTTTTTTTCTCCCTGAGGATAAGACAATTCTTATGAATGAAAAAAAACTCTTTCTCAAACAGGAGAATACCAGGAAGTTTTAAATGATAAATAAATATAGTAAGTTTTGGGATCAGCAGTTAGTGTAATGGCTATGTCGCTGGACTCCCACGTAGGCAACCATGGTTTAAGCCCTAGACCTGGCAGCTTAAAACTCATGGTGGGTGCATGTGCATGCATGCCCAAGATCTTGAGCGGAGAATGGAGGAGAAGGGATTGTGGCATGGCCATCTCCCCGGGGGGTGATTTCTCACTTTCTGTCTCTCTGTCTCTTTCTGTCTTTCTGGCGAGCACACATGCCCGATAGCAAAAACCTCTCCAAAAAAAAAAAAAAAATGTAGTAAGTTTTAATTGTCATCTTAAATCTTAAAAAAAGAAAAAGGAAAGAAAAAGAAAAAGAAACAAGAAGGGAGTTTTATTCCTTGTGATACATTTCAGATAATAGAAAAAGTGCTTTGGAGAGCTCTGGGGATTGATTTAAAAAACCACTTTTTTTGTTTGTTATATTCTCAGGTCATTAATTTCAACACAGTCCCCAGCAGTAATAATCAAAATTATTGCATTGTACTCATACTGACTTTCATGGGAAAACAGTTTGCTTACGAAAAATCCCCACACCATCACCCCAAACTGTCAGGAGTAGCAGAGAGGCCATAAAGGCAGCTTCGTGTTGTCAGAAAAGCATTGCGGCATGAGGCCAGAATTCCACTGAAGGTTTGGTCATTTGAAAATATTCTCATCTACAAAATCAACTCATGACTGAGTAAAAAAGATAATATTAATAGAGATGCCTTGAGAGGACAGTGAAATCTCTTCTAGGGATTTTTGTTGTGGATAATGATTCAGGAAGGCAGTTAGTCCCTGATTTTGAGTCCTCTTGACATCCGTACTAGGTAGGTTGGGAAAACAGTGGTCCTCAAATTTGGCAGTAGAGGGGCCAGCAGTTGGTGTAATGGTTACATTGCTGGACTCCCACATAGGCGACCGTAGTTCGAGTCCTAGACCCAGTGGCTTGAAACTCATGCTGGGTACGTGTGTGTGCGTGCCTAAGATCTCAGGAGAAGAATGGAGAAGGGGTTGTGGAGTGGCCATCTCCCCCAGGGGATGATTTCTTACTTTCCCTCTTTCTGTCTCCGTCTCTCTCCCCAGAGAGTACACAAGCCCTAAGGCAAAAACTTCCAAGAAAAACATTGACAGTACGTTAGATACCCGGGGAGACTTTGAGCCCTGCTGCCCAGGCTGACCTCATCGCTAGTTGAACCAGAATCTCCGGAGGTGGGCCCACATGTCAATTCTTCCAACCCTTTCGGCTCTGGTGCTCAGATCACTGTGTGCCCTAAGAACACAGGTGTAGGGCAATAAATAATTAAAATTCCAGAGCCCCATGGATGCTCCTCAGAGGGTTGGAGCCGACATTCTGCTTCTGAAAGGACCACATGAAACTGGATGATAATTATTTATTTTATTTTAAAATTTATCATTACTCTTCTTTTTTAACTTGTTAGAGGGCATGCGCACTCACCAGAGAGAGACAGAGAGGGAGAGACAGAGAACGTGAGGAAGCAAGTTGCCAGGTCTGGGACTCAAACTGCCGTTGGCCATGTTAGAGTCTAGTGCCTCAACCACCATGCCACCTGCTGCCCCCAAGGATCCACCTTACTTTCAAAGATCTCCCTAGAAAGATACTCTACTGTGCCAATGTGTCCAGCTCCTGGGACTGGTAGGGGGCCATAGAGGAGCTGAAACTGGTCTTTCCTATAACTTATTTGGGCTCTGTTCTTTCCGTTCCCTGAATAAGGAGATAAGCCCACTGTCCCCTCCATAGCATGGGCAGATGATTAAAAAGGATAGGCCTTGGGACCAGCAGGTGGCATGGTGGTTAAGGCGCTGGACACTCCCACATGGCAGACCAGGGTTCGAGTCCTGAATGTGGTGGCTTGCATTCTCACTTCCTTTCTCTCTCACTCTCACCCTCTTGTCTCTCTCTGGTCAAATTAAGAAATAAATGAACGAATAAATAAATAAATAAAATAAATAATTAGTTAAAAAAATTAATTAAATAAAAAGGATAGGCTTTTAATTTCAATACCATTTCACTTGTCTTAACATGGTTCCTGGTAACTTCCTTTTAAAAAAATAGGCCAAGGGGCCAGCATTGGACTCCCACGTGCCCAACTGTGGTTTGAGTCCTGGATCCGGTTGAATCTCACACCTGGCGTGTGTGTGTGTGTGTGCACGTGTGTATGCCCAAAATCCTGAGAGGAGAATGGAGAAGAAGGGACTGCGGCGTGGCCATCCTCCCTGGCAGTGATTTTTTGCTTTTTGTCTCTCTGGCGAGCACATGGCGCCCTATAGCAAAAACCACTAAAAGATAAATAAATAAAAGAAGCCCAGTGTTTATTTTTGAGCTTGAACACCTCACTAGTCACCTCGAGTCAGCAGTCACCCCAAATACCCAAGTCTTTTTCAGAAGCCTGGGGGTCATGTCCCGTGTCTCTCATCTCAACCCATTGATACATTTCACTCCAGAACCAAAGCATGGGTTCATGTTCTTCTGTAACAGCCACATTTGGACAGAGGGTTCAAGTTTTCTGAGAATATGTTTGGCTCTTGATTCTCTGATCTGCCATCTGTCCCCAGGCCAGGGACCATCTGAGCTTGTCTGGGAGGAGCTCTGTGCATTCCTGTGTCCGACCACGGGTGGCGCTGTGGTACAAGGGTTGAAACACGTCCATGGGCCTCATGGCCTGGACTGGGATTTGGACCACCTCCACTAAAGGCTACATTTGGACGTCATGGGTCTCGGTTTTCTAACTGTAAAATGGAACAATTACTGTAGAGCTTATCTCACGGAGTTGTTAAAACGGTTAGGTAACACGTGAAGAACCTCGGCTGGCATCCAGGCGACTATGACCGGGAGGTAGCAGTTATCGAAGAGCTGAACTGATTCTAGCTTTAAAAAGCAAGTTTGAGGGACCAGCAGGTAGCGCAGTG